TTTGTCCCCATTCTTTTTGCTGAGTTCTATAAGGGCAAGATTGGCATGAAGAAGAGAGCTGGCATGTAGTGCCATCCGGTGGCCTATAAGAAGGCAGGCCGGTGGGGGCTAGCTTCAGACAGTGGTCTGTGCCCCATTCTTCCTACTGGGCCTAACTGGTTGGCATTAACACAGGGACAAATTCAAATGACCCCCCCCAAAAAAAACACCCCCACCCCAAATGAAATTTAATGCATGATGACCATTACGAACCAAGTCAACAGAATATAAAGATTTTTTAAAATGTATAATAAAGAAACCATCTCAGTCCAGTATACAGGTCAAACTTCTGCAAGGGCTACCTTATGTGTTTTAATTAGCTGATGAGGGCTGTAGCTTTAAACAATAAAATGCCGGGGATGCTTAGACATGCCAGATCAAAAGATAAAAATGGAAAGACAAAAAAGGAGGGTAAGGATGCGCATAAGCTGAATCATAGAGAAAATATTTCCAATAGATATGGGAAGGACTTGTTGAGACAGTGTTTGTGCACACATATACACAATATTGACTTCAGGAGTCTTCACAAGCATCTGGGCATCTTTGAAAGATTGCGTATACACTCAAGTTTTTGGGAACCCTCATCCTCTTAATCAGGCGATCAGTGAACTGAGATGAGTCACAGACAAAAGGTGGAGCTATCCAGCACCTATTGGGGGCCGTGTCATATGACTGGTTGGACCATAAGCAACATTCAGGGATGATGGGAATTGTGGTTTAGCAGCTTCTGGAGGGCCACATGTTCATCAACCATGGTCTAAAGAGTAGTGATGGGGCCACTCTCTTAAATGTCTAAAACTACCTAACTGCATCATGAAGGATCCAGAATAGAGTGTTTTCAATAGTCATAGCTTGGTTGTAGAAAGTCTGTCCCTGAAGAGACCCATCAAAGGTCAATGCTGTGGAACTTCTCAGGATCAGTGCAGACCCTTCTGATCAAGTATAAGCCAAATGTCTGTCCCACTGAATTAATATTTAATTGTTAGTACATGTTAGATGTGGACCTTTCCAGTTCATGTCCAAGATTTGCTGTTCTGTGGCCCTACTTGGAGGTGCACAAGTTCCTTGATTCAATACTGTCTTTGACCTGTGCTGGGAGGGAAGCAGGTACACTGACTGGCATCAGCTTTTCAATATCTCAGACATGGGATATTCCCAGCCCAATCTGAAGATGCCTGGGATTGCACCTGGGACCCTTTTCAGGCACAGCAGATACTCTAACCACTGAGCTGCAACCCTTCCCCTAAATGAAAGATCAACAGGAATATGTGTAAACACTGCACAAGGAAATCAGGATGAATGTTCATTCTCATATAACTGCCTGTCAATGAATTCAAACGAATGCTCAACAGATATCATAGAGTCTAACCTCTGCACAAGCTTGGGCAAGTAAATTGAGATGAGTGCTGAATAAACAGGTCTTATCTGGAGGAGCCCCCATTAGTTTGTGTTGCTGCTGCTGCTGCTCCTGGGCCTGAGTTCCCAGCGCTGCCCCTCTCCACATCAACACCTCTCTAAGGAAAAAAGGAAATGGTTCTCTTGTTTCCTCTTGACTTTGCATGACTAACTCAGCATGCAGTGATGACTTTGGGGGTTACAATGAAGGGTCAAGCCATACTTGATCAAACAGCAGGGCTGACATGACAGCAGGACAGAAGGGAAGACACCTCCTTGTTAACAACTCAGAGCTAATGAACCTTTTCCTCATTGCCTAAATGGGCATAAATAAATATACATACTCTGAGGGGGGGGGGGCGGGGGGGAACACTGGTTTTGAAAAAAAGGAGTCCCAAAAGAGCATCATGCCCCAATGAAGGGAGTGGTGACTATCCCAGATGGGACCAGAAGGTCCTGCCCCCACAGCTGCCCATTCTTACCCATGCCATTGACATGGAAATGAGGACAAATTGATGGGAGACATTTCCATTGTAATGGATCTGTGGCAGGCAGGCCCACCCAGCCAGCCATCCACTGCCAGAATTATCCATCCTCCTCCTGCTGCCTGGAGGAAATGCTTGCAATGGATCACAGCACCAGGCCTTGGCTAATAAGATTAAACGGGCCATAAATAGCCCTTAATAGAGTGGAACAGCTCCCACATTCCCCTCCTTGTCCTGAGGCTTGCTTTACCTTTTTCAGAAAAAAACTTATGAAAGTGGCAGGATATCTGAACATAGCCTATAGTTCAGATATTATTAATTAATTAACCTGTCCTTCACCATAAGACCCCAGGGTGGATTACAGCAAAAAAATATAATACAACAAAACAAATAAAATAATCCCATGTTTTCAGTCTGACTGGATTTCTCCTGCAACTTAAGATTTATTGTTCATTGAATATTTATTTAATAAGCATGTGAGTTCACAAATTTTAAACATTAAAAACAGGGTTGCTCATAATAAGTCCTCAGAGGAAAATATCCACAGTGCCAATGCCACATACATTTTAATTTACAGAATTCATTGTGAGGAGCAATGCAGTTGCAGAAAGATATGAGTAAGTGATGTGTAGTAAGGGCTGGAGGTCATGAATAGAGGTCACAAAGAACAGACAGGTAGACATGCATGGCAGAGATTCTATCCTCATGACAGAGATATTTTTTACAGGCAGTGTAATCATAACTTGCATGAAGACAGTATACAATACAAGTATGTGCATCAAGCATTCAGCCAGATAAAAGGGTATTTCAATTATACATTAGTGTTCAGCAGATATAGAACTCTAAACATGCAGCCAGTGCCTTTGAATAAAGATCATTTGCTAGATAATACATTTTCACTTTGTAGAGGGCCTGTCATTGCGGCAAACCTGTGCTTTAGATTCTCCCATTTCAATCTCAAGTGATATTCTATAGAACCAGCTTCTTTCAGAATTCCTCCAAGCTCCTCTACATATGAGGCATCCATTGCTGCTCTCTCACTTTACTTACCAAAAATAAAAATCTGTAGTTAATATAAAGCTACAAATTAACTTTAATTTTTACTGATGTCTGCTGGTACCTACTCATTCTGCAAACATTTCTGCAATAATAATGTAAACATGCAACTGGGGAGATATATATATATATATATATATATATATATACCGGTATGTGTCTCATTTTTTAGGTATAATTTTGTATTTAAAATATTCCTAACTCACAGAATAAATAATTGTAGACCCTATATAAAAGACAGTTACTTGTAATGTCAATATGTAAGGAGATCAGAACAAAATAATTATTTTAATTTCAAAGTAATTATACTGTATTATGAAATGTCACTAACAGAGGATAGGTCTACGCATAAAGCGAAGAGCAAATGTCAAACACTGAAGTTGTTCCAGATAAGGAGCAATAGTTTGTTGGTTTAATGTTTTAATTAATAAAAAAATCACAAATACCACTTTGAAATTATCAACAATTTAGCTGAATATTTGTTACACTAGCTGGATAAATACTATAAAAAATAAATTAATAAAACAGTATACTTGCCTTAAAATATGAACATATTTTGATAATAGAATATTTATTTCTTTGCTTGTATCTGTTAATATAAATATTTGTTTTAGTAAAAAGTAGATGTAAAGGTTAATTAACTGATATTTATTACAAGTTGATATAATTTTATATACGTCACCATTCAAAACTTTTTCTAGGGCTTCAGTTTTGAGAACTGCCTGGGAGCTTTCAGAAAGAGACAAATCCATTTTCTCAAAAGAAGACATTTGTGTATTTTCTGAAGATTCATTCTGTCAACAGAAAACAAACAATGGAAAGCTGGAATAATCTTTCAGCCTTGCAGAACTGTGCACATACTTTTTTTCACACCACACTTATCACATAATATGTGACTGTATATGTCACAGAAAGGCATTTTTGCAAAAGAAAAAGAACCAAAACAAAAACTGCAATCATTTTACATTTAAAAAATAAAAATGGCTATTTAAAACTGCTCACCTTTTCTTCATTTTTACGTTTTTTTCTATTTTCATCAGACTTTACTAGGTTACTTGTCATTGTTACCTGATAAAAAATGTAATGTCATATTTGATAAACAATATTTTTTTCCTGTGAAGGTATTGCAATATGTAACTACAAAATAATATCACAGTGTTGTCCTTACTCTAAGAAAACTAGACAAGGACAAATAACTTGCATAGTGACCAGTCCCAAGGTCTGTATTCAGGCAACAATTTTTATTTTACATGAATGGCACTGTTAACAGTTGTACAATTGTTTCCTAGAACCTATCACCCATCACTCACTGGAAACATTACAGTTTGAAACATGGAATAGATCAAAAGCAAGGAAAAACAAGAACTGCTGTTTAGGAAAAGGGTATTTATTTGGAAATGAGGTTGGGCAGCTCTACTTAAACATATTGGCCCATCAATACTGAGAGGTTGAGCAGATCTAATCGGTTTATTTCATTGTGATGACCACCGTATGTTTCATATTTTCATTTGAATGTGCAGTCAAAGGAGTACAGGAGAGCTTTCCAAACTGTGTTGCGACACGTGTGTCGATCGCAGCGTGTAATTTTGTAATGTGAAAGCTCCCTGTGCTCCTCCCAGGGCTGGAAAAGGGTTACTTTAAGCTCTGGTTTGCTAGTAAAGCTAATCATGAGGAGAAAATGAATCCCTCATCGACATGGACAAACGCGCGCTCTTCTTCTTATTAAATGTAAACATCCTCCAATGGACACCCTTTAACTTTTATCATCTTTATATGCGTGCGTGTGTTTCCACACGCTCCCTCCGCCCCTCGTGTGAATGCACCCTATGGGAGTTTCCCCGCATTTTCGCCCTCTCATCACCTCACACCCCCCTTAAATGTGGTGGTGGAGAAAGAGGGAAGAAGACCTCTCTGCGGATCCCCGCTTCTGAGCATGCGCATTCCCTGCAGCGTGGGGAATAGGCGGAGCGAGAGGGGCACGCGCCGCAGGGCTCAGCTACCCCTCCCTCCTCAAAATTTTTCTGGTGACCGTTAACGATCGGCTCGTGCTCAGGGAGTTTTGGCGGGAAGCGCGTGTCGTGTTTGCTCTCCTCAGCTCAGGAGAGAGAAGTCGAAGCAGAATAACGGTACAAATTGTATTTAAAAGAGTTTATTTTGTAGGCAGCAAGCACATTTGAGGCAGGCTTCCTGTATAGGAACTATGAAAAAAGTTGTGAACCCCTCCCTCAGAGCCAACTCAGGTCTCCTTTTATCCTGGAAGTTTATATATAATTACCTTGTTCACAAAAGCTTATTTAAAGTCTTACTCATACTCAAAGTCAGCCCGTTAAAGTGAATGGAAATGACTAACTTTTCCAATTCTGTGAATTTAGTGGGATGCAACCCAAAAACAGGTAGCCACGTTGACTCATTTGAGAAAGGAGAAGGCACAACAATAAAGTAATACTGAGGACCAACTTTTATCAGGACAGCTTATGGGTTATTTACCCTTCAGCGACTTTTGAAACCAATATGAAACTCCCAGTTTGTTTAGCTGTCATTTAAAAAGCACAGAAGCAACATGCCTGTCCGTTCAGTTTGTTGGACCACATTAAACATCTATTTTCTCATAATTGCCACATACACAAAATTGCACACTGCTCCATATTCTTAATCGAGGATCACTCCTTGCAGATTCTGTTTTCAGAATTACAAGAAGAACAAATTAGAATCAACTCATTCAAAGCAGGCTACTGTAGTTATTTTTGTTTACCACATTTATATCCTAGCTTTGCTCTCTTCCAAAAATAATCTCCCCCTCCCCAGTTTATCCTCACAATAACCCTTTGAGGTGGGCTAAACTGAGACACAGTGACTGGCCCAAAATCACTCAGTGAGTATCATGACTGAGTGCAAATTTGAACCCTTGGCCTCCCAGGTCCTAGTCTAACAAACTGCTACACCCTGCAACAACCCATTTGTGCTTACAAGTTTATTGTCAGAGCTGTAACAAGAACATGTGTTAATGGTGTAGAATTCACCATGTTTATGTATGCTTATTGTTTGGGGAATCTTATCTGTGTTACTAGGGACGCGGGTGGCGCTGTGGGTTAAAGCCTCAGCACCTAGGACTTGCCGATCGAAAGGTCGGCGGTTCGAATCCCCGTGGCGGGGTGCGCTCCCGTCGCTCGGTCCCAGCGCCTGCCAACCTAGCAGTTCGAAAGCACCCCCGGGTGCAAGTAGATAAATAGGGACCGCTTACCAGCGGGAAGGTAAACGGCGTTCCATGTGCTGCGCTGGCTCGCCAGATGCAGCTTGTCACGCTGGCCACGTGACCCGGAAGTGTCTCCGGACAGCGCTGGCCCCTGGCCTCTTAAGTGAGATGGGCGCACAACCCTAGAGTCTGTCAAGACTGGCCCGTACGGGCAGGGGTACCTTTACCTTTACCTTTTATCTGTGTTACTAGATTTTGCAAACTGGGAATTCATGTGCCTGTTATACCAGATTAATCCACACACAGATTGAAAGTGTGTTTGTGGCATGTTACTCAGCTTCTAAATCTTTCCAGAAACAAATGAAAATTGCAGAAGACAGAAGTACTGTATAAGAGACCACTACAGCAGTATTTCTTAGTTTTAAATGTTGCATAATAATTACTTTTTCCTACCAGCAGGTGGCTTCTTCACTGAAACTTCTGTGTACTGACACCTCAATTGTTGAGGGATACCCTTGAGGTGACTGCAGCTCCATTTCCGGAAAATGAGTAAAGATAGATGCAAGACAGTGCAGAAACCTGTGAGTGGAGAAATAAATCATGCATTAAACAATCGGAAAAGGTTTCTGACACAGAGCTAGGACTGCCAGCTTCTGAAGTGAAACATTTGGAGTCAATGCTCAATCCCAGGCATTTCCATCCACAACCTCTTTTCAATGTCAGAATGTAGCTCATGGGCAAGTAAAAAGTGCTATTGAGCAGGGTCAGAGTGCACAGACTTTCCTGATCAAGGAATGTGACTACCAAGCAAGCATCAGCTCCATCACCACCCTTGAGAAATAAGTTACTCTTGAAAAAATGAGACACAGCTACTGAGTGAGTATTTTAAGGAATTTGGTTCTCAAGTTTAGGAATAATGAGAAAAGATTAAGGATGGAGGCATATGCTACAATCCTAAATCATGTTTATGTAGCTCTTCCATCTTGTGTAGTCATTAGATTATTAAATGTTTAAATTTATTTCCCCTCTTTCATGAAAGTTCAGCAATATAGGAAGGAACATAAGGCACCTCATTACGTGAGTCATCAGACCACTGAGCTATCTAGCTCAGGACTGTCTGTGGGTGGTGGACTTCATGCTAGCAGGATCACCTTTCTTTTTGGAGACACACCAACTACATTTAGAATTATAGAATTTGGAGGCCAGGGATTTGATATGAGTGGCAGAAATGAACTGGCATGACAGTCATTCTATACACAAACCCATGTCTGGTTACCTCCTCCACTTTCAGTTTTCTTCTTTTCAGTAGTAATATTTTTTGTTGTTGTCATTTTGGGTTTTTTTGGGGGGAGAGGGGGTCATTTTGTTGTTACTGTTATTCAACAATTGGAAGTCAGAAATTCTTCCCTATCTATGATCTCTTCTGCCCATCCTGGTCTACTGCAATGCCTAACAGCAGCTCTCCAATGTTTCATTGGAGATACAATAATCTTTCCCAACCTTGCCTGGAAATGCCAGTGAGTAATATAGTATATCCTCTAGTGCCATTCTGCTCCAATACCACCAGGCTCCTGTGAATTCCTTCCCAGGTGCATTGTGTCAGTATTGGTCAGTGAGTGGTAAAGAATGAGCTTTTGGATCCAGGTACCAGAATTGTATCATAAGGCACTTGAAGAACAACCCTGACCTAAATGTTACATTCCATTTTATATGTTGGATCAGGATTTTCTGGCAACAAACCACTACTGCTTCATTACAGAATATGTAAACAAAATCATTCTAGGTTGGGACATTCTTGTATTCGCTGATACTCTGGACCAAGTATTTCACATTAGTTTCAAAACATTTTACTTCTGGGCAGATGGGACATGCTTCTGATGTGAGTTTACTGGTGTCTGCTGTGGCCAGCCATGTGAAGAGAGAACACATCTCTTCTTCAAACTCAGTAGCATTCTGCACACCTGAGGGCAATGTTGGCTTGAAGGGACAAATACAATTTCCATGGAAGTATCTTCTGACATGCAGCACCCCCTGCTGACCCTTTGGGGAATGTTCAAGAGTAAGGAAATTAATTAAAGTGCTGCCACTGAAAATGCAGAACGTTGGAGGGGACACAATTCTTTCAGTCCTATATATGGAATGTAGGGAAATTGCTCATTTACATATCCAGCCAGCACAATCATGGCATTCTTTTCACCTCCTCTAAAGACGCTGAATCTTTTCCTCCAATGCTTTCCTATCAGAGTGTTCCCTTTCTGTCACTATTGCACAACCTTCACAGTTCCGCTTCCTGCTGTTACCTTTGTTTAATCATTTGTTCAATGTTTCTTCAAGATCTTTAGTGAGATATATTTGCAGTTTTAAAGCATTTGGATTTATACGCCATTCGGTCAACAGTGATCCTGGGCAGTCGGCACTAGTCATGGTCTTGGGAGGCTAGCAATGAGTGTAGTGTAGTGTAGTGTAGTGTAGTGTAGTGTAGTGTAGTGTAGTGTACAGGTTAAGAAAATGAACCAAAATTTGGGAAAGGTGAAGTTCAAATCTTTATTCCGCCAGAGGCCCCTGCCCCCATATGTAGCATGGAGGGTGGAATAATATATACATAACTTATAGTACTGTTTTCATTATTACTAAGGTAGTAATAAATACTGAACATTGTTAGGATTATAGGATGCTATCTTATACCAAGTCAGACCATTGGTCGATCTAGCTCAATATTGTCTACATTGGCTGGCAGTCGGTCTCCAGAGTTTTAGACAGCAATATTTTTCTAAGTCCTACCAGGAGATGCTGGAGATTGAAGTCTCAGGTGATAAATTTGTTAGTCTTTAAGAAACCAGGAGACTTTTAGTTGTTCTTACTGAATGTGTTAAATGTTTGATTAAACTACCACTGTTTAATATGGACACAAAAAATGTATCCTACGAATGATTTAATCTCTAGTTTAAGCATTTCCTTTCATAACCACTAGGTGGTGAGCTTGTGCTTCCAAGAGTTAATTACCTGGTTGTGGCAGTCCCCATACAACAGTCACTGAGAAAAGCAAAACTGCCTTGGACGCACGTGCATTAGTTAGTAGTGAACCTCAGGCAGGGCCATCTTGCGCATGAGACAAGGTAAGGAAGTTGTCTCAGGCTGCAGATTTGGCCTCCGAGGAGTGTGCCTCATCTTTGCCACCTCCCCCAGGCCCACCTATTGCCTCTTCATCTGGGTTCTCCTGCAACTGCCCTCTGCCTGCTCCAGGGAGCGCTGCAGAGGAGGAGGAGGCGGGGGGGGGCAGTGGAAGGGGAAGCAGCAGCAGGTGTGGGGAGGCATTTTCTGTTTTGCTTGAAGTGAGAAACATCCTAGGCTGACCCTGGCCTTCGGACAAGTTTTGTCTGAAAGACTGCTTTCAGTACAAACATGTTTGACCACTTAGGTCAGTAGTGGGGAACCTCAGACCCAGTGCTTCAATTTGACTCTCTAGGCCAGGGGTCAGCAAACTTTTTCAGCAGGGGGCCGGTCCACTGTCCCTCAGACCTTGTGGGGGGCCGGTCTATATTTTTTTTGGGGGGGAATGAACAAATTCCTATGCCCCACAAATAACCCAGAGATGCATTTTAAATAAAAGGGCACATTCTACTTATGTAAAAACACGCTGATTCCTGGACCATCCGTGGGCTGAATTGAGAAGGCAATTGGGCCGGATCCGACCCCCAGGCCTTAGTTTGCCTACCCATGCTCTAGGCTCTATCTGGCCCACAGACTCTCCCCAGGCTGTATTCCCAATTCAATGCACACACCTCACTGGTTCTTCTTCACACCTTTTTCCTGACTTGAATGTCTCCCACAACTTCGATAATGCCTCTTACTTGTCTAGATGGAAGAGAGATATGTGTGTATATACAAACTAGCCTACTGTACAAGGATAACATATTAATTCTTTTGTCCATTTTTGCTTCTGATCATGCCTAGTTTGTCTGTCCATTGGCATGTGCCCCCTCCCAAAAGATTGCCCAGAATAAAATGCAGTTTTCCATCTGAAAGTGTTCTTTGCTCCTCCTGATTCAGTAAAGGTTCTTTACTCTTAATGGTGGCATCATGCTCTACAGATCACTGGAGTGGGCATTTTCCATGTTTGCCATCAGTTGTTTTACATTTGTCCAGACATTTCCTGACCTCCAAGATCGAATTTTTCACTTCTGTATTTCTGCCACTACATTTTACTATGTTTTTATGATGTGTTTAACACTTTTGTAGCTTGTTATGTTTTATTATGTATTGTGAACCCTTAGGTTTTTAATACTAAAGGGTCTAGAAATTTTCTAAATAAATAAATAATATTCTAATCATGCTAAACTTAGGTTGACTCAGTTGCTGGATTGGAGACTGTCTATTGCTGTATATATGAGGCAGTTAACTTGGTTGGATTTATTGTGGCATAAGCTTTTTCGGGGACAGAGCCCACTGCAGGATGCTCTCCTAGTTTGTGGGTATCAAACTATGAGGACATAGAGAAAAGTTTTGTTTCCTGTCTCCCAAATGAGGAAAAACTGCCAAGCAATGTATGATATATCAGTGGTGTGTAGTGTATTAATGAAGATCAGATCTGACCATATTAGGTGTGATATACTCCATATAGGTGGCCCCTGATGATAAATTGGCATAGCAAGTTGAATAGTGTAAATTAAATGGTCCTAAAGAGGGACAATTGCTTTCTCAGGTAGGCAAGCTGCCCCCAGACTTGGTGTGAAATTTGCTGGCAAGTTATAATTCAGCAGCTGTAGGCTGGAGTTTCTCTTTGAAGGAGAAGAACAAATTGTTGAAGAATGATACATAATGTCTCCCAATTTACATCACAATAATATTGTCATCCTTCACACACCTTCTCAAATAAGATAAGGATTGCAGTCTAAAATAGTTAAAAATCATAGATTCATATTTTAAAAACTATCCAAAAGCCACAGCAGAGCAAGACCTTTATTAGTAGCAACTGAAATGTCATAAAGTATGGTTTGTATGGTTTTATGTACTATTGTAAACCAATTTGATACTTTCCTATGAAATAGCAGTAGTATATAAATATTTTTATAAGTAAATAAAATAAAAGTATGTAATCTTCTCCAGTGCTTTTCTTCAGGCTGGGTGTCAAGCAAACATACAAAACGGTTAGGAAAGAGGTAGCTGGGCATGATGGAGAAGGCCCAAAGACTGCAGCCTGTAAACATCTTGAGATGGAGTACAGGACATGTCATGCAGACTTAATTTGCTTCGCTCACACCAATTTGCTTCAACGGCAACTGGGACAAAAAAAAACCCACAACAGTGAATAACAAATAATGCATTATTATCATCAGGATAAACACTATTTTTAAATGTCTTGTCCCTTAAGGTGCTTCAAGCTTGTGTTTCTGCTGTAATAATAGACATAAAAACTCAGTCTAGAATCTGGCTGAATACTTTTATTTACTGTAGCACTTAAATGAAGTTAGTTCAGGATGCTGCAGGGATTGCCCATCTTAGATGCTTGTTGGTGCAGTGAGAAAATTTTAGACACTATATTCAATGCTCTTACAGCTACTTCCCTTCATATGGTGATACGTGTATCTTCACATTCTTCAAAATATGGGTAAATGTGCTGTGTTTGGGGCCCATCTGGCTGATTCTGAGGCCCTCGACTTCTTTCCCAAAAACTTGTCTGATGGCAACAGTGCTTTTAAGCTCCTCCCCTCATAACCGAGCCATGGAAACCCTCTTTCATGCCTACATGGAACACTCCATTGGGGTCTGTTCAATCTTGATTAGCTCTGCTCCAGAAATGGCTGAATTTCACAGTCTATTTAGAATTTTTGTGTTTGCAAGTGCACATGCACAAAGTGCTGCACCAGTGTGTGCGGCAGAGATCCCAGGCATCCTAGAAGCAATGGATGGGGTACAGCTGTTAGCATCCTAGTTATTTTAAGAGAGGTGTCACCAGTGTGGCATGAGTGCCCACATAGGCTTCTCTGGTTCCCACAGGTTCCCCTCCCTCTATTAAAATTAGGCTTGAAAGAAGCATTCTAGTGTCGCCTGTAGGGTGTTGCAGGGTGTGCTGGCTTGCGGAGGTGGTGACAGTTTCTCTGGTTTGCAAACATACTCACAAAAAGGTTGGCAACCTCTGTGTTAAGAAATAACATACTTTTCCTTCAGAACACTCGAATTCTCCTGATCAATTCCATAATGTCTGTTAAAGTAGAGATTGTATGCTCGGAGCCAGACCTATGTATATCTGTGTTTGTGTGTGTGTGTGTGTGTGTGTGTGGTCTTTTGACTCAGAGAGAAAAGACACAGACACCAAGTGTGGGTCAAGAGATTTATTAGACTTCTTGCCTGTTTAGGAAATCTACATCCAGTGAAGAGACAAAAAGCTTTGCAATTCCCAATGGTCCCATTAAAGTATCACTTCTGAAAGAATTCTTAAATACTTTTATCCTTAGAAAAAAAATGTCCCATCCCACCCCATTTGGTGTCATTCAGCAAAAGTGTTTCCTCACCAGGGAAATCTTTTTGAGCACCCTGCAAATGCAAGCAAATAAATAAATGTCATGGGGTAGGAGATGATGCCTTCCCAGATGCTACCACCCCAGTCACAATATTGGGACTGTGGGGGCCTTCTGAGCTACGCTGCTAGCAAGGGACATGCTTATTCCTTGTTGTCTTGATGACTTAACTGGTACCAGACAAGGAAGAAGTAAGAGCGTGGGGAAGGAGCAGATTCTGGTTCTGACTAGTGCACAAAGTGCTACGGGATTTCTTTAAGGAGATGAATGAAATTAGGGCATCTGGAACCCATCTAAGGGCTGCTTCACATGTGACTATTTTCAGAATGGATATTACTTACTTGCCGGAAAAGATTGTATACAACAGCTTTACAACTAAATTTTCAAAAATTAATAGCCTGAGAAAAATATAACCAATTTGCCCACAAAAAAAATCTATTAGTCATCTTTGGCACATGGATGGTCCCAGGGAGAAGGGGGCGGGGGGCGGGGGAGAGAATAAATGAACTCTTTTCATTAGAAGACTTAACTGCCAAATCACCTGAAAGTTGTTATTACACACAATTGCACAAGCAGCTATTTGTAAGCCTTGTGTACACTGCCACCTGGGGTGAGCATGAGGATCTACTGTTCTGCATGTACACACAGCACAAAGCCACATTTTCCAACACATGTGCACATGCGGAAAACTAGTGTGAGTGCTCATCAGACACTGTTGTGTGCATGATATGTATTTTTCCTACACAAAATTTATTTCCTTGGAACAAAATTTCTGACACATGAAGAGGCTCCAAGAATGGACCTGTGCATCTCCTTGGCAAATGCATCTTCCCAAACCCATGTTTACCAAGGGAATCTGATTGTTGTGTGCATGCATGTGTACAAGGATGAATCAGTAGATGGGAGTGTTTAACACTCCCCCTACCTACAGTGCTCTCCCAGGTAATCTCTGTCGTCGTCATCCCCCCCCCAAAAAAATAATAATCTGGGTTTCTTTCCTTTCTTGAAATGTGGCTGAGCTTTTTTTAAAAAGGCCAGGGAAGGGATTGCATCAGAGAATTGGTTGGTTGGGAAATTGTTACACAACGCCCCGCCAAAAAACAAACAATCAAACTGATTCTCTCCCGCAAATGTTACCCCCACGATGCTGCATAAGTGTGGTCTCATAGGAACAAGTAGTTCCACCATCCTGAGATACCATGTTATTTCTGAGAATATCCAGGACAGAACAGCTAAAATTGAGCATGTAGTAAACAGTGCATTTCTTCCCTCACATAAGCACAGGCATCAGAACCTCTGCCGGGTTAATAGAATGGGGACTGTCCTGTTAGAGTGCTGTGATAATGGAGGAAGATTATCTACTCAGTAATTACAACCCAATAATATATATCCTTCTCCAGTACTTTGAGGAAGCAAAGGATGGTTTTACAAAAGGAATCCATCTCTCCTGCCCCTCCATTTCTCCTCCCCATGTCCCAGTTTGCTCTAACAGAAACTAGGTATTCCAAGTCCTGCTCTCCAGCAGGACAGTCAATATGTCCTACTTTGCAGAGGACAACATTCTGTTTGGAGGGGTGGCAAAGGACAGTCCTTTATTTCAAGGGCTGCCTACTGTGAATCTGGATTAAAAAGAAAGAATCCTAAGAAAGGAGAGCAGTAGGGGAGTGGGGAGGCTTGAGTCTTCCCTGCTATGAAGAGATGTGTGTTTCTATTTAAATAACAAGTCATTATTTCTAAATTTGCAACTACATATAAATTAGTATATGCAAATCAATGGTTTTGATGATGCATTCCCTCGGGGGTGGGGGGATTGTGTAAATGTCCAACCTACCCTTTAGGTGATTTCCTTTCAAGATTACTTAACATGGGTTAACATCCTTAGTTAAACTGTTTTAGCCTCCTTTTGATGAGCATTCCATACTTAAAGCACATTGATAAGGCACATTTCTCTCCCCTATACAAACCCCTGTTCTTTCAGTGCATGGTTATTGGTAGTAGCAGATGGCATGGTGGGGTGGCGGTGTTCACCTGACCTCCCATCAGTCGGATCTACTGGTTACTGTGAGGTAAAGGGGTGAAGTGACAACACTGATGCAAATGCACTGGGAGAAACACAAATTTGTCTGGCTCAACCTCACCACTGCCTTGCCCCTGAGCTACCTCCTGGGAAGTAGCCGCAATGCAACCAACTGGAGGTCAGGTGCAAGCTGCCAGTGTCCACTACTGATTATAGGTGGAGTGATTCTTTACTGAATCTGAGAATGAAATGAGGCATTATAAGTATTTCAGGCTTAAATTCACCTGATCCAGAGAAGACGGTGTGATTTTATAAACAACCTTCACTTTCTACTGTCTCTTCCCTCATCATAACTGGTGCCCACCTCTCCATTTCAGGGCTGGTGCACTACCTCTTGTCCCACTCACTGCTCACAAGCCCAGTTGACTGGCAGCTGGAAAGAGCAACGGAAGAGTCCCATACATCTTCCTTACAGCTACTTTGCCTGCCACAGTGCTAGGAGGAGCACCACATGGATGTCTGCCGAGAGAAAGTGTCCTGCAGGCCCCCCATACTCAGCCCTCCTAGATACCTTCTTGTAGCAGCCCACCCCCTCCTACTTCCCCAGTCTGCATATTGAGATGCAGGATTTCCTTCCCCTCATTCATTCACCCCAGGCTTCCAGGCCTCCACTCACTACCCGCATCCACCTGGTTAACTCCCCCTCTATCAGAGGCTCCTGAACTAAAATAGCAGCATACAACCCTGTCATCGGGCATCCCCTTCTGTAACCTGCCAAAAAGGGGGCAACTCAGAGATAGAGGTCAAAACCTCTCTTTGGCCCTTATGCCTGGGAAAGGGTATAGGGAACCAGTGGCCTCACCTTTCCCCCACATTCAGGATTCTGGCTACCATGCAGTCCCTCCCTATAACCACAGGAGGTGACACCTGGTTTCTCCCTCTTTAAGGGGCACCTGATGACGTCGTCTCATCTCTCAAACTGTGCTGTGGCCAATGGGTGGAAGCTGTTCGAAGCCAGGAGCATTCGGCCTAGGCGATAGAGAAGTGCAGGGTACCAATGAACGCCTTCTGGTTGAGTCTGCTCACCCCCTGCCAGGCTGCGAAAGAGTCGAAGGGGCCAAAAAGCCAGCTGGGCCAGGTGCTGCTCCTGCACCAAAGCAAAACAAGATGCTACCACTCCATCCACCACCACCGTCCCATGGCGAGTGAGGGGGGCATAGGCCCCAATATCCATCTGCACTGAGGCTGCTGCTACCCTGGCTGGTCTTAGCTCACTCCCATCTGTCACCAGCACATATTGGCCTGGGTGTACCAGGCTGGCAAAAATAGCCTTCATGGGTGCAGTGGCATTCTCCCCCACAAAAAGGAGGTGTGCTGCAGTGAGGGCAAGGCGGCGGGGTGGATCCCGCGTCTCAATGACGTGGAAAGCAGTCCGTGCCGATGATGCCTTGTCCAGAAATGCCAGGAATTCACTGTATATGGGACGGCCTTGCTCATCCATGGCTTGGACCCGCTGCCCAGGCCTCAGTGCCCACACTGGAATCTTGGTCCCGCTTTCTAGAGTTGCCAGTGCCTGGGCTGGGAAACAGCCTCCTGTCTTTGCCGCTGCTGAATGCTCTAGACAAAGAGAGGGAGAGGGAGAAACAAATAGAGAGACCAACCCAGTTACTAGAGGGAGGGAGATTCGATTAAGGTGCAAAGAAGTAAACATAAATGAAATTTGGTAAGATTTAGATGGGCTATGGGTGGTTGTGATGAGGGTAAGTTTTGTTATGGAGGCCTTTCAACTGGAATCAAGTGGCCTCTGTTTTGTAGGTTGGTGGAGAGTACAGTTCATATAGACTACTGATTAATTCATCTAGCAGGGGAGTTGGGAAACTTTGCAGTCCAAGGACCACATTCCTTTCTAAGAAACCCTTGGGGGGGGGCACATGCCAGTGGTGAGTGGGGCCAAAGACAATGAATGTAAATTTCACCTTTATACAGCAGGTTAGCTTCTACACATACCCCTTCCCACCCTCCATCCAGGGCAGAAGTTTAATTGGAGTTCAATGACACATTTCAGCCATTCAGGAACACTCAAGGAGGAGTGCAAAGCAGGGACAGTAGGGGCAGGATTGAGAAAGGGGTGTGCTGAGGAGAGTTTCTACTACCAGATAGAGAGGATGGAGGGCCTGATATATGATGTCACATGCACAACAGCACATTAATCATTCATCTGAAATAGCCTTTCCCATCTGATTGCCCTCCAGAGGTTTTGGACTGCAACACCCATCAACACCAGCCAGCATGGCCAATGGTCAGGGATGATAGAAGTTGTAGTCAATCAACATCTGGAGACCTACAGGTTGGGAAAGGCTGATCTTGATTAACCAACACCTAGGATCCAATGGTCTTATTGAGTATATCTACACAACTAATTTACACCAGCTAAATAAAAAACATTGGTTAACGGTCATGTCTTCCTCAAATATGCTGGGAATTGTGTGGTAAGGGTGCTAGCAGGCAACCCCTATTTCTGTTTCCTCCTTCCAATTATAGTTTGAATGAATAAATGAATAATGCACACTCTCAAACATCAACAACAAATATTCTACCACTGATCTTTTACACTGTATAACAAAGATAGCAAAGACTATCTTTGTTATACCTGGGAGGAAGTGATAATGTTCTCCTGGGTTGGAAGATACAGAGGCAAGGGAAAACTGAGTGTAGTCAGACACACACTCTGGACTTTAAGAAGGCCAATTTTGAAAAGCTGAAGGAGCTACTGGGTGTGGTCAGAAATATTTGGTGAGAAGGGAGTCCAAGAAGGATGGAAGTTTTTAAAAGGAGAAATACTGGAGGCCCAAATGCAGACAATACGAACAAGAATGAAAAGTGGGAGGCATCTAAGGAAACCAGTGTGGCTGCATAAGGAGCTTACAGATGAACTGAGAGTTAAGAACGGCATGTATAAGAAATGGAAGAAAGGGGAAATCACAAAGGAGTATACATAAGTAGCCAACAGTTGCAGATGGAAAGTCAGGCTGGCTAAAGCTCAGAATGAGCTCAGGCTTGCAAGAGAGGTTAAAAATACTAAAAGGTTTATTCGGCTATGTCCAAAGTAAGAGGAATAACAAGCAAGTGTTGGGTCCTCTGTGTGGGGAACACAGAGAAATGCTATTGGGTGACAGAGAAAAGGTGGAACTACTCAACACCTACTTTGCCTCTGTCTTTACTCAAAAGGAAAGTGATGCCCAACCTGGTGATAACAGAATAAATGATGTAAGGAGGGAGCTGCAGCCCAATATATGAAAAGAGGTAGTAAGGGAATACCTAGCTACTTTAAATGAATTAAAATTTCCAGGGCCTGATGAACTGCAACCAAGGGTACTAAAGGAGCTTGTGGATGTAATTTCAGAGCCTTTGTCTATTATCTTTGAGATTTCTTGGAGAACAGGTGAGGTCCCTACAGACTGGAGGCTGGCAAATATTAACCCGCATCTTCAAAAAGTGGGGAAAGGAATAGCCAGGCAACTACCGACCAGTGAGCTTGACATTGATACCAGGGAAGGTCCTAGAACAGATAATTCAACAGTCGATCTGAGAGCATTTAGAAAAGGATGTTGTGATTACTAAGACCCGGCATTGTTTTCTCAAAAATAAGTCATGCCAGACCAATCTGATTTCTTTTTTTGATGTAATTACAAACTTGGTGGATCAGGGAAACGCTATGGACATAGTGTATTTTGATTTCAGTAAGGCTTTTGACAATGTCCCCCAAGATATTATTGCGAGGAAACTGGTAAAATGTGGGTTGAAAGAGATAACTCTTAGGTGGATTTGTAGCTGGTTGACTGACCAAACTCAAAGAGTACTCATTAATAGTTCCTTGTCATCCTGGAAAAACGTGACAAGTGGGGTGCCGCAGGGTTCTGTCCCGGGCCCATTGTTGTTCAACATCTTTATAAACGACTTGATTGAACAAATTGAGGGGATGCTCATCAAATTTGCATATGACACCAAACTGAGATGGGTAGCTAATGGCGCAGAAGACAGAATCAGAATTAAAAATGACCATAACAGATTGGAGAACTGGGCGCAAGCTAACAAAATGAATTTCAATAGGGACAAATGTATGGTTCTGCACTTAGGCAGGAAGAACCAGATGCACAAATATAGGATGGGGGTCATCTGGCTTACTAGCAGTACATCTGAAAAGCATATATGGGTCTTGGTGGACCACAAGCTTAACATGAGTCAACAGTATGATGCATCAGCAAAAAAGCTAATACTATTCTAGGCTGTATCAACAGAAGTATAGTGTCCAGATCAAGGGAAGTAATAGTACCACTCTATTCTGCCTTACCTCCCTGCTCACTGTGTTTGAAGCAATAATGTGCTCTCCACTTGCAAATGCAGACACTCAAAACTGGCTTGCACTGACTGTAATTCCAAGTGCACACACTTGGAAACTGTGTCCAATTCTGGGCACCACAATTTAAGAAGGATGTTGACAAGCTGGAACATGTGTAGAGAAGGGCAACCAAGATGATCAAGGGTCTGGAAACTAAGCCTTATGAGGAGCGCTTGAAGGAGTTGGGTATGTTTAGCCTGGAAAAGAGGAGACTGAAAGGAGATATGATAGCCATTTTCAAATATCTTAAGGGCTGTCACATGGAAAAGAGAGCATGCTTGTTTTCTCCTGCTCTGGAGGGTAGGACTCGAACCAATAGCTTCAAGTTGCAAGAAAGGCAATTCTGACTAAACATTCGGAAAAACTTTCTGACAGAGCTGTTCAGCAGTGGAACAGACTCCCAAAAGAGGTGGTGGGACTCTCCTTCCATGGAGGTTTTTAAACAGAGGTTGGATGGTCATCTACCATGGATGCTTTAGCTGCTGCATTTCAGGGGTTTGGACTTGATGACCCTTGGGGTCCCTTCCAGCTCTAAGATTCTGTGATTCTATTATTCTCTAACTGCTTTATAGGTTTGGCAAATACAGTTTTACTGCCCTTCAGTAAATCTGCCTCAGTCTACTTCCTCAGTCTACTTGTAGTGCTTCTTTGGTTAAGATCTGTATTTACTATTTGGCTTCTGCTTGGAAGTAGAAAAGGTGGGAAATTAATGACATGTAAAGCAAGAATCCATTCTTTAGCCATCAGTCTTCAGTGAAAGGGTAGGAAAAGCCACCCTCTAAAAATGGGTGGGCTCAACAGCCAATTAAGAGCATCAGAAGAGATCTGCTCAGCAAGTAGCCTGAGAAACAAGGACCACAATAAGAAGAAATACTTACTTTTCAAGAAGGCAGCTATGGCTTCTGAAGCTTACATAACCCAGCAAACAACCAGAAAGCTGGTAAAGCGCACATAGTTTCTAAATAGTACTGTACTGATTTAAATTTCTTTAAAACTTAACAGAAGCCCTGCTGGATGAGGCCAAGGGCCCATCTAATTCAGTATCCTGCTCTCACAGTATCCCATGGAAAACAAAAAAAAAAAAAAACACAAAAAAAATAATACGGCCTCGGTCCTGTATACCTGAAGGAGCATCTCCACCCTCATCGTTCAGTCTGGACACTGAGATCCAGCGCTGAGGGCCTTCTGGCGGTTCCCTCATTGCGAGAAGTGAGGTTACAGTGAACCAGACAGAGGGCTTTCTTGGTAGTGGCGCCTGCCCTGTGGAACGCCCTCCCTTCAGATGTGAAGGAAATAAGCAGCTATCTTATCTTTAAAGGACATCTGAAGGCAGCCCTATTTAGGGAAGTTTTTAATATTTAATGCTGTTTTTAACACTCGATTGGAAGCTGCCCAGAGTGGCTGGGGAAACTCAGCCAGATGGGCAGAGTATAAATTATTATTATTATTATACTATTAGTATCATTATTACCTGCTAGCAGGACCTCCATACAACAGTGTGATGATGGCAATGTAAAGCATATTGTATCATGTGTGATTTATGCAGCATTGACTTCCCTCTAACTAGTTCTTCAGATCCCTAAGATAAAAGGAGAGCCTCCCCAAGGTAGCAGAGAATATGTCCCGCTCTCTCTAGGCACTTTTCATGTCCAACTCCCTTGCACTTAACAAAAACAGTACTCTTTTCCTCCAATTCTCAGTTGGTTGTTTTTCAGTAATGATTCTAAACAGTTCTTTTTTCAGGGAGCACTCAAGTGTATGCAGTATCAGTAGCCCCCATCCACCCCTGTTAAAAGTGTAGCGCTTACTGTAACAACTTCATGGTGAGCACTGGCATCTTTTTCCCCCCCTTAAAAAAAGCACTGATTCTAAAATGAACAAACAGCCATCCACAGCCTTGCAGAAGAGGGCCAAGAGGGCAGTGCCTTTCTTTCTCCTATTCACTTCACCATTTGTAAGAATGGGGGTCCCTGTCTACAGGGAGCAGCCATCACAGCCCCAAGCTCACCTTTGGATCTGGCATGCAACTGACTTGTGAGATAATCTCAGTGTTGTGCAACATCTGCTGCTACTGTTGGTCAGATTTAGCCACATGCAAACAGATGTTGGTATGTAGAGAACAATGGAGCTGGTACAGCAGAGCAACTCAGAGAGTGAGCTGCTATAGGCATGTTCTCCCTTTCGTTCTTTCTCTCTCTTAGTCCCATGTGTGCAATAAGTAAATAATAAAAATGGTCTGCCGTACAGTACTCATATAATTCATTTGAAACCAATTGCAATGTCTATATGAAATGCTAAAAATTGTCACCATGTGGAAAGAAGACACTTAAAAATGGAGAATTTAGCAGATGCCATGCCATAGTCATGCATCTGCATATCTCCATTGTTCAGTCTTGCCTCACAGATGATATAGTCATGGCCAAGTGACCAAGGGTGCCCTTTTGAGCATACCATATGTCAATTAAACAGTAAAAATCAATACACAGTGTATCTTCATTGTTTGGGAAGGGTCACAGCGCAGTGAAAGAGCACATGCTTAGGTCCCAGGTTCAATCTCCAGCATTTCCAGGTAGAACTGGAAAATACTCCTGTCTGAAACCCTGAAGAGCTGCTGCCAGTTAGTTTAAATAATATTGAGTGGTCTGACATTGAAAAAGGCAGCTTTCTCTTATGACCTGCTTGCTACATGGATGATACAATCAAGAAGGTGCTCCTGGTACCATGAGCAAGACTGTGCCATCTCTGTGCCAAGTCCAAACAATGAAGATACATAGAGGTGCAATGAAAGAATCCCCTTCCAGAGTCTGATAAGTGCTTTACAGGAGACATTTTTGTGAATGTTCAGTTAATTGGCATTCATCCATGGAACAGAAATCAAACGAACATTTGAGCCAGTGTAGGATGTATGTTCATTTAAAAAAATATCATTTTAAGCCTTCTAGGTAAAAATACACTGAGCCTGTTCTAAAAGAGGGTTTTGTGTGTTTTTTTGCTATGGGATCAGGTTCAGTGGCTATGGCCAAGCTAGTGTGCAACCTGGAGGGATTGTAGTGGTAGTTGTTGTTAGTTTGGTTTCAGCCCAACTCTCCAGGAAAAGGGCAAGTTCAAATATAAAAAGTTAGTATAGCTCATTTTTTAAAAAGGAGATAAGACTTACAGAAGCCAAGTGGATGAAGAGATTGGGGGAGGGCAGAGGACAGACAGACCAGGCCACACAAATGGTACAAAAATAAAGGCCATTTATTAAGGTACTTATGGCAGGCCAGCTGCCCTGAATACACACCATTTCCAGACACTTAAAAGTCCTCCATTAAACCAGTGTTTGCTTCTCTCACACTTCATCTTACACAGGCCAGGACATTCCTTCTGTACTGAGTATGTTCCACTGCATCAGGAGTGACCAACCCAAAGCCCTCCAGATGCAGCTGAACTACAACTCCCATCAACGCTCATTATTGGTCTTGCTGGCTGGGGCTGATGAGTGCTGGAGTCCAAATACCTGGCAGGCCACAGCTTAGCCACCCTGGCACTATACATTTGCCCTACCCACCATCCATCAGCCTGAAATACTGAAGCAATGCCTCCCTTCCAGAATAGCCTGTACTCAAGTGCTTGTCTCCACCTGTAATAAAACCTGGACCCAGGATAAACTCTTCAGTGTTGGCTCACACTCATCCTTTTTGCCCCACCCAGTCTCCATCAAAGCTGTTGTCAACCCTCCAGCATCCAGTGCTTTCCCTGCAAGATTGTGCTGCTCCTCTAGTCATTTACTACCAAGAGAGTTTCCCAGTCTTTGGCACTTTGTACGGTTGCAACATCCTTTTGGAAGCATGGGCACCTAGAAGCAGACACAGCATCCCAGGAATGTGGCAGCATCAAAGAGACAAATGAAAAGTGTTTTCCTACTCCTGCTAGTGGAGCTCAGAGGAAATGGACAGTCTGTAGAGCTCCACAGTCAAGGTGCTCAGCTTGGAGGTAGCAGGCCACAGTACCCAGTGCAACCATTTGAAGATTTATGCATAATTTTTTATATCCACCGCACTTAGACCTAACTTGCAGCTTTGTAGATATCAAGGCTTTGGGGACCCAAAGTCCAAAGGGACAAAAAGTGCTTGTTTCTTAGCCACTTGGCTGGCACAGTTACTTCCTGGAGAGTATAAAGTGGCACAGTCCATATTGGTGCCAGAGGGGAGAAGGTTGTGCTCCACTCTGGCTGAGCCAGTCTCTTTCTCCAGCGCTGATCTCTCCTGGTGTGCTGCAGTCAGGTAGGTGGAGACTCGGCTGTTGGGTCAGGCAGTATAAGCTCAAGGCAGGGCAAAGGCACTTCCTTCCCATCAACCAGAGACCCTGTGGGTCTGGAAAGGGCCGGAACACCAGCAGCTCATGCTAATGGTCAAAGGATAGGAACAAGATGCCACAGTCAAAGTGTGGTACTCTGGCCAACAGGGGGAGAACCTCAGCATCTAATCCCAACAAACAACTCAGGCCCCTACTGTCCTTAATATACCTAGGGCTGGACCAAACCCGTTGCTGCCCACCGCTTGTAGAAATCTACATTTTTTTTCTGGATGAGAGGATGTGCAGCTCAGATGAAAAATATTAGCCAGGTGTTCAACTGGGAGAGTATTTGCAGGGAAATATTTCCTGTGGCTTTAACAACCAGATCTTAGAGCAGGTGTGCTTGGTCCTAGCCCAGTGAGGGCGACACTTGGGGGAACTAAGCCAAACCAAGATTAGTTAACATTAACATAAGGTATTTAATTGCATGCAGGGATGGGAGAATATCTGTGGTTCACCAGCTATTGCTGGACTACAACTCCCATTATCCCTGATCATTGGCCATGCTGGTTGTGGCTGGAGGGAGTTTGAGTTCAACAATACTGGTAGGTCCACAGGTTCCCCAGTTCTGATGAACAGTAAGAATGGAGTACAGCATTGCTACTGTTATCCCATGGTGACCCATACAAGCAAAAATGTGCTCTTCAACCTTATAACTTACCCACTCCACCTTTCATTACCCCAAACCTTTCTTCAATTGTGCCTATCTCCCTTATTCATGATTCACAGATACTTTCCCACTACCTCCCCCATTCCTGCCAATCTCCCTCAATCCCATCTCAAAACTGGTCCTTACCAGATTTGACAGAGCAGTGAATGTGAGCCTTAGATTCATAGTAGACCCAGTCGAAGCCAGCCTCAACAGCTAAACGTGCCAGCATCCCATACTTGTTGCGGTCACGGTCAGAGGTGGTGATGTCAACAGCACGGCCTTCATAGTGCAGCGATTCCTCTGAGTGGTGCCCATCTTCATCCCAGCCCTCCGTCACACGCAGCTTTATCCCTGGCCACTGGTTCATTACCGAGATGGCCAGAGAGTTTAGGCGATCCTTGCAGCGCTATGGGAAGTGGGTGAAAAGTGACAGAATAGAAATAGATTAGCATCATGCACCTACACACAGAGGAGAGCATTACCTGGAAGTACAAAACTTGGATTACGGTAGATTGGGGTGGCCATGTGTCGTTCTTGACAAAGGACAATCCTTTCCTTGAAAGGGTGGCAGAGAATAGTAATAGTAATACTGTAATAATAGTAATAGCAGTACTAGTAGTAAATAATAATAATAATAATAATAATAATAATAATACTTTTATTATTTTTACGCCGCCCATCTGGCTGGGTTTCCCCAGCCACTCTGGGTGGCTTACAGAATATATAAAACATCAAACATTAAAAACTTCCCGATACAGGGCTGCCTTCAGATGTCTTCTAAACGTTATGTAGTTCTTAATCTCCTGAACATCTCCTGAACATCTGAAGGAAGGGCATTCCACAGGGAGGGCACCACTACTGAGAAGGCCTTCTGCCTAGTTCCCTGTAATTTCACTTCTTGCAGTGAGGGAATGACCAGAAGACCCTTGGAGGAGGACCTTAGTGTCTGGGCTGGATGATGGGGGTGGAGACGCTCCTTCAGGTATACTGAAAATCTGTTTTTGTTTTGTTTTGTTTTGTTTTGCAATGTGTAAATGTGTAGCCTAGATTAAATTCCCCACCATATCAAGCATTGCTTAGCCACAGTCCAGAACATTTGCCATCTGAGCAAGAAAGAACCACACCTGGGTCAACACACATGCAGCCAAATGATGTGATAACATCCTGACATGGTAGCAATTCAGTCCACTACTAGATGCTAAAGTCACTTTGCTTTTCAAAATGTATTCTACATTCTTGTTAAACCCCTCTCTAATTTTAATAATAATAATAATAATAATAATAATAATAATAATAATAATAATAATAATTTTATATACAACCCTTTATCAAAAGATCCTAGGGTGCTGTACAACATTAAGAACACGTTTTATAGAGCATAACAATAAAAACCTAATAAAAAGCACAATAATAGACAGCATAATAATAAAATAATCATAATAACAGCCACTCCCCCAGCTTTAACAGGCCACAGATTATTTAATGGACAAAGGCCATACAATGATGGTGCCAGGCAAGCCTCTCTGGGGAGAGCATTCCACAGATTGGGGGCCACCACAGAAAAAAGACTCATTCTTGTGTTGCCACCCTCTGAACCTCTCAGGGAGTGAGGACATAGAGGAGAGGCTGTCCTTAGGTATTGAGGTCCTGAGCTGTGTAAGGCTTTATAGATCAAAATCAGCACTTTGATTGGGTTCAGAAGCTAATTGGGGATAATAATAAAAACCACCTTACATCAAGGGCACTGGCTCCTGGGGGCCAAGGCACTGTGGGTCCCACAATCTCTTTCTTAGGGGTCCAGACCCCTTCAATGTTCAGAGAGCCCCACGTGTGATGTCCTGACGTAGCATGACATTGTGTGTGTGTGTGTCATCAGGACATAAAGACACCATGTCATAAAGATGTGACGTAAAGACGTTGTGTTGGGCCCCTTCAATCCTCCAGAGAAGGTGGTACCTCTCCCTTACATAGAGACATAATGGTCCCTCTAAATTGTCAGGATTTTGCAGGAGGGATTCAAGCCCATACTGGGACTTTAGGTGTGTGCAGTTAATGTGGATTAAAAGTCTCCAGTGCACAACAAATCCTCCTTAAAAAAAGACTTTCTGCAGTTTGGAAAATGATTGGAGAATGCATTGAAAAGTGTGGGATAAACTAATGACTAACAAGAAGATGTGTAAACACTCCAAAGTAGATCAGGATGGGTACAAGATGGGAGATGATTGCCATTTAACTGCCCTGTAAACAAATCAGAATGAAAGCTCATTAAAGACTGGTCATACTGTAGTCTAATCTCTGTGTAAAGCAAGTCAGGGTGAAAGTTCAAGAAACAGGTAATCTGGAGGGGCCCAGTTTCTCAGCTCAGCCCTTGTTCCTGCACAAGTAACATGGGTTCACCCACACCATTTTTAAAATGCATAAGAGAACGTTTGGCAAAGTTAGAGAGATGTTGTATGCATGTGCACAGAGATGCAGGATTTGTAGATAGACCTCAATTATTTTTGTAGCATCCTCATGCTATTAAGTTTTTTCTAGGTATCAGGAAATCATTATTAATATATAGATATACACACCATATGGGCATGTCATGCTCTATTGCTTCTGTCCATACCGAACAATATTAAATTCATTGCTTTACTGTCCTATTTTCCCTCCATGCCCTATTCCTGAACCTCACTGATTTGGCTTACAAGTAAATGAGTCACGAAATATGTCACTTGTGACTAAAGTCCTGCACAGACCTAAACGCTTACATTAACCCTGGGATACCTGCACAGGCCATTCTGAGAGCAGCCAAATGAGTTTCTTGCAGGATGCCGATTGATTGGTAATGACCCAGGTGATCACGTGTACATTGGTGCTGTCAGGGCAGGACTTTGAGGCAGAGGTCCAGTGCCCCTTTCATCAGAACAAGCAGAAGTCCCCCCCATGCTGAATACAGCAGTGCTGGTTTCCCACAACTGAAATAAAATGAAGTAAAACACATTTCTATCTAAAGAGGGTGTGTGCGTGTGCTAAGTTCAGAGTCAGAAATGTCCTAAAACACCACTTCACTCATGCTGCAATATTCACACATACAGTGGTATCTCAAATTACATACGCTTCAGGTTACAGACTCCACTAACCCAGAAATATTACCTTGGGTTAAGAACTTTGCTTCAGGATGAGAACAGAAATCATGCAGCGGCAGCGCAGCGGCAGCAGGAGGAGGAGGCCCCATTAGCTAAAGTGGTGCTTCAGGTTAAGAACAGTTTCAGTTTAAGAACAGACCTCCAGAACGAATTAAGTTCTTAACCCGAGGTACCACTGTATTTCATGAAATCCTGGGACATCACAACAGAGAAGCAGCCCCACATTGGAATGTGTGGTTTTGTGTGTGGAAAAAGAGGGGAGAATCATCCCAAACTGCAAAAAGACAGCAAAGCCCTTCCATGTGTGACCTTGGAATGTGGCCAACTATCTGCAAGGATGAAAGGCCTGACCCTCCCACTCCTTAGGTCACGTTTCACTCAGCCTTGAGAAGAGGGCAAAGAGCAATGCAGCAGCAGCACAAGGGTGAGGCAAAAAACCCGCCCCTGCATTCAGAGGAAAGGTCATATATGGCCAGGGCTGGCCTTTGTCCCTAGTAAAACAGGGCAGGCACAAAGGGCTATCCCAGTTTCTACAACCACACACACCACTGTTTGTTCTGGACCTCAAGAGATAAGGTGCTACAGAAGGCAACAAACAGTGTTTTATATATGAGAGAGATTTATTTATTTCCTTAAAATACCATAGGAAAGGTGAGGGTTACATAGTTTGGGGTTACATAGTTTGGGGTTACATAGTTGGGTTCCCATCCCCATCTCTGGCTCACTTTTCCTTCTATGAACAGTTAACAAACCACTCCAAATCACCTTAACTTTGCATACTGTAGAAACAAACAAGCTGATGAGTCCCTTGGGTGAATCTGGCTGCATCAGGTTTTGTGAGATTATTATTATTTATTTTATTTTATTCAATTTCTTACCCACCCTTCACCATATGGTTCCTGGGTGGAGTACAGCAATGCTTTTTTAAAAAATAAAGTACAATATTAAAACCAGTTTAAAACAAATGTTAAATTGCAGACCAAGAATAAGGACTAGCTCTAGAAATGTCAGGGCCCCAGAACACCATGTTAAAATGCTAACTCCTGAGTTAGTGAATCCAAATACATGGGCTGTTCCTCTCATCAAAATAACTCCTCTTAATACAGCCTTCAGACAAGACTTTGTTTGTTATTCCTCACAGTCAGCTGCACAGGGAATAGCCATTGTACCCATCACCTTCACCTCACATTCATACTCTTCCAGGCTATATCATTTACCCAGAGCAATGGGAGAATTACATAGGGAATCACAAGGTACATATTCTTCTGCATTGGGAATAAATTCAGAACTGATTCACATATATGCTAATTCCAGCTGTAGCCAGAAGGTGTCAGCATAGAGCTGCAACAAGAAAGCCAATTGGCACAAGGCAGGTGCTTTAATTCATTGACCACAAGGCAAGTTCTAAAGAAACACCTCTGATGCCCAGATATAGGAACAGATACTCTCAGAAAGAATCCCCAACATTAGGTGCTGAGGCTGCTGTACCATGGTGCAATTTGAGCTACAATGAAGGGTTTGGAGAAAGCAGCAGAAGAGGAAAGGATCAAACTATAGTAGCTATGTAAGCCTCAGTGCCCAATCAATTATCCCAAGGCTAACAGCATGGGGGCTACATGTTGAGCAGTAAAAAAGTGGGATCTTGTTAACAAGGTGCTAGATATTTGGTGAAGCACATAACACGTCTGCCCTTCCCACCATCCAAGGGGATAATCATAAATTGGAAATATAAATACAGGGCACATTTTCAAACGGCTGCTATTTTCTGGTGGGATTCAACCACATATTGACAAATTCAGGCAGCACAATTATACCTGATTGGCAGCTCTTGTGTAACAAGCCCATTTTCTCCAAAGACTGCACTTTTTGCAATAAGGGAAGTTACAGAAATGCACTGGAGGGTGTGAGATAACACTTGCTTTGATGCAACATCATTCAGCCTCATTAATGATGTCTAATTTCTCTGCAAACAAATCAGGCTGAATGCTCAGTAAACAGCACATGGAGCGGTACATGCTCACATATGAAAGGGATGAGGTTCTCCTCATTTCATGCCTCAGTTATTGAGTCCAATTCATCAGTAAAAGGACAAAATTCAGCAAGCCCTGCTTCCAACACTATACCCACATATATTCAGCCATAAATATTCTCCAGGGTTCCCTCTCCACACCCTTAGAATGTAAGCCACATTCCAGGGCATGCAGTCAGTGATGCTATGAAGAAGTTGTCCATGGTGAAAGGTGGGGATAGGAACTATATTTACTAATCATTTGGC